GCAGGAAAGAACCTCCCCGCCACCCCTCACCCCACAGTGTTCACTCTAGAATAGTGTTGGTCCCTAGGGAGGGGGCAGGCGGCCGTCTACAGCACAGGTCCTCAGCCCTCACCCCTTGCACTTCACCCCGCTCCCAGGCCACCACTCCTTTACTGGTCTCTTACTGGTTCCTCGTGTCTGGTAAGGTTGAGCTTTCTGAAATGCTGCATTGGTTTGACTTCATTTTTACGTGGCTTTCCTCGTTCTGAGCCATCAAATCCACCTTTAGCCTGCCTTTCCGTGTCCTTCAGGATCGAACCCCGACCTATCTTTGAAGCCTTATTTTTGTTCTAAAACTTGGCCCGCCTGCCATGACCCAAATGGACTCCTCCTTGCCCTCCAGGCTCTAACCACCCGGCCTGTGGCCACACCCTCTCCCCAGGCTGCATGCCCTCTACAGCTGGCACCTTTAAGGTCCGGTGCCATCAAAATCCATCTTCCCTGATGCTCCCTCTGACTGACTCAACCTAAGGGGCTTTCTCCACGTGACAGGCATCACTGAATACTTTAATGAGTCTATCATATTTGATGAATTTAATGTTAAGCTCATAAAAAACAAACTCTGGGTTCTGTATCTTTTCATATGTCCCGCCCTCCCGCATTCCCAAGTACCTTGCACATACATTTGTTTTTCAAAAAAGTGCCTACTAGTGCCAGGCCCAAGGCTAGGCCTGGGGAATACTGTAGTGAAAAGACAGATGGTCTCTGCTTCGAGACTTACGTATTTGTTGATAACGATAAGGAACCTGCAGATTAAAATGCATGTTTACCGCCACCCAGCAGCGTACTTCCAGAGGTCAGCACACTGGGACGGGCAGAACTGCCCAAGGCCATATTGCTGTAGTCACTCTAACCTAGGAGGGTGCACGTAAGATCTTAGAGTCTTAACAGAGGGCTCAGGACCGACCTGAATATAAACATATTGGGGTAAAAAAACACACATATTGGAATAAAGTTGATGAGGGCCCGAAGAGGCAAACTGACTCTCTCTTTGGCCTAAAATGACTGCAGGATGAAGACAGATCCTTTTAAGCGACGCGGACTACACTGCACTTTCTGTACAAGGATAGGCTGACCCACCTCGGAAGGCTCTGCACCAGGCCAGCGTTTCAGTCCGGCGGTGGGCGCACCCCTCTCTTTGCCTGTCGCGACCAGTGGTTTGCATGTGCACCATCGGTGGGATTAGGATCAACCTGTAGCCCCAGGGTGGAGTTGGAATTACAGAACGTGACGGCCGAAAGGGAGTGTGGACCTCATCTTGTCCATCTCCTCCTTGCATAAGGCAGGTCATTTTGCAAAACGGGGAAACTGAGCCCCAGGGAGGTGAAGGGACTTGACCCAAATGGTCCAGAGTCAGATCTCCCGCCTCCCGGGCCCTGTGGGATCAGCGCCTGGGACAGCATTTTAAAGGCCAGGGAGGGGGTTGTTTTATAGACATTGTAAGGAAACTTGTATTTTCTTAAAAATAAAAAAAGCTCCCCTGACTTCCGTGGGTAGAGAGAGGTCTGTGGCCCGATTCACCAGGTCACTGTGGGACGCTGCAGTCACTCCACCTCCACCTCTGGGCCTGAGCGCCTCATCTGCCAGGCCTTTAGTCAGAGGTCTCTGGAGCATCTTTAAGGCTCACTGAGTTCGATCCCTCCGGCCCAAGCGGGGGGCCCACGGACACCGGGGAGCGGGGAAGAAGGGGCACCTGTGGGTGGACCTGGGTGAGATCTGGTCAGCGGGTTAGAAGGCAGCCTTTTGGTCGCTGTGCTTTCTGAGCCCCTTCAGGGTGTTCGATTCCTTTGTTTTTCGAAGCTTTGCTTTAATCTGTGCTACTCTCCTGAAGCTACATGCAAATGTGACTTTCACCTGCAGTCCTAGGTTTTTGGAGGACAGGAACCTTCTTGTTATCACAGGGATACCATAAAGGAAAGCTGCCCCCCGCCCTAACCACCCCCCCTGAACTCAGCCCTACTTTCTGGTCTATGACTTCCTCATTCTAAAGCATGCTATGTTTGCCCAATTTAGCTTTGAAGATAAGACCACAGTATAGATAGTAATGGAAGAATAACATATATTTTGTACAGGGTAGTCGGCAGCTCTTTCCAGACCAAGTGCCTGGCAGCATGCTTGGCACATAAGTGCTCAATAAAAGTTTACTCAACAAACTGTGAGTGTTGGGGTGCTCCTGAGCCATGCACTGCTCCGTCCTTAGGAAACCACACCATCGAGTGAGGAAGAAGAATAAATGCTTTCCCGGACCTGTCTGCTCTCCTTGCGCCATTCATTCAGCAAACTCAGCCTCGACAGAGCAAGGAGCTAAGGCCCGACTTTTGAATTCACTTACTTAGAAGCCTCTACAGAGTCTTCCAGAATAGGGAAACATCTGTCCGTTTCTGTTTTATGTGACGTTATCTGATGAGAAGGGATGTGAGTTTACTGTGTGGGGATCTAACTGGTAAGGCAAGTTGAGTGACTGTGGTTTTGGGTGAATCGCTTTGCTCCCGGATGGCCAGTATCACCCACAGGTCAAGTGCAGATAAACTAGATCTCGATGATCTCAGACCTCCCCCTGCCCTGAACACCTATCATTCTATGGTAGCCTTGGGCCCTGACTTGCTCTAAGCTACCCTTTGATTTTTTTCCAACCCACGCAAAGCTGCTGGGCTTGTCCTTCTTGAGGACATTGTTTGCCAAGTTGTATCACTTGGTCTCTAATTTCCATGATCTCTGAAAGCAGGGGTTAGACATGGCAGTCTGAGGGTCTCTTCAACCGTAACACTATGATTCCGCGCACACACGGGTGCCTGGCTACCGTCTTGTCTCCACCCTAATGCTCTTCTAAAGGAAGGATAACAAAATACGCTGGGCAGTTTGGAGCATCTCCTACGACCGTTGGGTTGTCTTAACCTTAAATAAATGAGTCCTCTGCCAAGACTTGTTCAGCTGCTAAGCCTGCGAATTTCACTGTGATTTGATTTGTTGAGAAAAGACTCGACCTGGGGCACGAAGAATGCAAAATATCGGGTTATTATAGACCATCAGGGTGTTAATCCAGGGTCAGCTCAGAGTCAAGTTCTAAATGCAAGCTGTGGCTGGAAATGGTGGTGGCAGCTGGGATAAGCAAAGCCTGGGCAGTGCATCGCCAACCTCCATTCTTCTTAAAGGTGTGGCCTGGGTAACAGCTTTGGACAAGCTGTTTCCGACCCCAGTTGTCAAAATCATTCTGTATTTAGGTAAAGTTCATTCTCTATTTAAAAACCAAAAAAACCAAAACCCAAACCTAACCTGTAGGGCTGCCTCAGCAGCGCTGAATCACCGGATACGACCAATTCGCCCGCTTTACAAGATGATGATGTTGAAACCCAAGCCCCTAATTTAAGTGTCCTCCTCAGGAGTTCCACTGGGGAGACGTCCTTTCTGGGAAACCACAGAGGAAAGTCGGCTTGGTGGTTCTCATTAAGAGCGAGGGAGCGCTCCCTGGCTGCACTGTTTATTTCCACACTGTAACTCTCCACCTTGCCTCCCCTCGCCTTCGTCATGCGAAGAGGCATTTCTGTGTCCGCCAGGCTGGATGTACTTACTGTTGCCCCCCCCCCCCCCAAATGCCACAGCACGGTGCCTGGGACATGGGGAGATGCACCGCTTGGAGATTTCAGCGTAAGCACTTGGTATTTTTTTTGCCAACAAATCGCTCATTTTATTATGGTTTCCAAAACAGTAAGATTCCCGAGCAATGTCCTTCCTCCAGGACAGGAGCTGTCTCTTTCGAGAAAGGGCCGGCGCGGAGCGGAGCGCCAGCAGTGCAATCACAACCAGCTTCCTGGCTGACAAGTTGCAGTCGCTCCCTTCCGCAGTTGGCTCTGGGGGACCTTTTGCTAACGCTCCCGTGTTCGGTGACATTCTAGCTGCCGCCTCACAAACTTCCATCGCCTGACTTTGGGGGTTGGTGGGAGTTTCGTGTTGGTTTTGTTTGTTTGCGTGCGTGTGTGTGTGTTTTGTTTTTTTTTTAATTTAAAAGAAGAAGAAGAAAACGAGAAGGAAATAACCCATTTCCTCTGTAAAATCAGCCTCCCTCGCTACAGAACTGCTCAGCCTCAGGGGCGCTTTCCTGTGGTTGGCAGGCAGCTCAGGGAACCTGGGAAGTTGAGCGGCGCGGGCTGGCCGTGAGGACTGTGCTCTGCAGGGAAATGCCTGCCTCCCCCCTCCCCCCCAGGGGGTCACGCTGGCGCCCCGGTAGTGAGCTTGGGGTGGGAGAGACATGGAACCCCACTTTCCCTCGCGCCGCCTCAGCGGCCGCCCTGCATGCGTGCGCGAGCCTAGGGAAGGTACCTCTGACATATGGCACTCGGGGCGCACAGGCAGCTTCATGCGGAAAATCCATGCAGAGGCTGAGCCCGGCGCCCCAATTGCCCCGCGGTCTGGGGAGCCCCTAAAGCGGGGCTGGGCGCACTCAGTGTCGGCCAAGCTTGCCTTTAGCTATTTTCCGGAGCCAACTGTATCAGGCTGAGATCGTCCAACTCTCAGCTGCCCACACTGGCGAGAGCGTTGCATCCCCGTGGCCCTGAGCATTCCTAAGTGTCAGAATAATTTTCGCAATCACCTCTCCTAAATGTTTAGATGTTAAGCGCTCTCCTCCGCCTCCCACCACCCACCCGGCAAAAAAAAAAAGCTCCTAACACATTAAAATAAAAATCCACCCCCATAATCAAAGTTTGAAACATGTAAAATAATAAAACCAACTCACCAAGTTAGAAGGGCAGAGAATAAACCCCAAAGGCTCCCACTAAGGCGCAGGCTTGGCCTCCCCTCCTTATAAGCCGCTGGGTAACATGAGAAAGGTTTAACTCCTTAGGGCGTGGGCCTATCGCAAGTTGGTTCAGAGGAGCGTCCCCAGGACCCGCCCGCAGCGCCCCGCCCCTGCCCCCACATACTGCCGCGCCTGGGGCACCCCGACTGCACCCTCTCCCCACCCCCCCACCCGCCAGCGCCCGGGTGGTGCGTGCTGCTGCCCAAGCCCTGTCCCCGCGTCTCTGCCTCTCTCTGATCCTATACCGGCTGCAGCCGGTCTCCGCCGGCCTCGGGGGCGCGCCGCCGCCGACCATGTGCTGCGAGCGCCGCGGAGGAGGGGGCCTGCTGGAGCGCGCGCGCCGGCCCACGTGTACCCGGCCCGCACCGGGCGCGCGCCCGCCCTCAGCCAAGCTGGGGGTCACGGAAGGTAACGGCGTGGCCGTCCCGGGCGGGCCCGCTCCCGCCAGCACCGCCGGGGTCCTGGGCGCGCCGCCCAAACCGGGCGCGGCTTTGCGCGCCTGGCCCCACCGGCCCCCGGCGCCGTGCCGCACTGCTAGCGGGGAACGCGGACTTGTTTGGGGGCGCCTGCACCCTTTCTGCTAGCACTCCCTGGCCGTGGTCCTTCTCGCAGCCCCTCTGCGCGCCCAATCCGGCCCGCGTCCTGAGGATTTGGGGGGTGTGGGATGAGGGGCGCTGGGCATGGTCCCAGGCGGCGCTTGCGGGCAGAACAGGTTCTTTCCAGTTTGAGTGTGAGCTGCGCGCGCGCGCGCACCACCACGGTCCCCAAGTTCCTCCTCCAGGGCCAACTTCCCCCAATTTCGTCAACTCGTGCACCCCACAGTTCCCGTTCCGGGAGGGAGGGAAGGAGTGCCGCAGTGGCCTCAGGGAGCTGGCGTCCCGGCTGCTAAGGGTGACCTGGTTTCCCCCTTTTCTGCAGCAGCAGCATCCGCGCGGAGCGGAGGGAGGCGAGCAGCCGGGCTGAGTCCGCATCCCCGGCCGGGGGCGCACGCGGACCGTCCTCCCGGGCGTGAGCCACACAGGTGCACGGCTGTCTGGCCCGCGGGGCGCCTGGTGTAGCCTTAGGGACTAACACCAGCCCCTCATCCGGAAGTTCCCGACCCCAAGAGCCCCGTGAACTCAGCAGATATGCACGGGAAACCTCGGTTAAGAACAGACCTGGGAACAAAGCAGTGTCAGATCCCGGGCGTTTCGGAGCCCGCGGGGACACCTCGGATCCCCAGGCCCCATCTGGCATCTGCCCCGAGGCAAAGGCTTTATTCTCCGCGTTCCCCTGCCTACCTGGGACGGGCTGCTCTCTTCCTTGGGGTTCGGATAATGTGGTTCTGATGTCAAACTCGAGAGACCCTTGTCTGCGAATGCGTGCACGTTGGGTCGCCACCAGGAGGAATGGGCGATGTGAATTTTTATTAAAACCGCTCTTTGCTCGCTGCCTGATTCTCCTCATGATTTGGGGGTAGTGTGTACTGGGTTAAATGCCTTTCTGTGCTGTTACTGAGCTCCGCCGTGGGCTAGGGGTAGGGGGCAGGTGTGCTGGCGAAGAGGGCTGCGTTAGGGCCAGTACTCCACAGCCAGAGGCCACCCACCAGCTCTGCAGCCTTGTGGGAGTAACCAAACTTTTTAGATCTGTCAAATGGGGACAATGGCGACAGCTCCCAGAATTGAAAGGTTTAATTTTTGATGCCTGTCAAGTTCAGATCAAAGTGACTGGTATATGGCTAGCCCTCAGCACCCATTAGTTCTTACTGATTTATTATTTATGGCTTACCAAGTCCAATAACTGACTCCTCACCCCCGCCACAAGCGATCCTTTTTCGAGCTGTTTTGTGAAGAGTCCACACATGGCGATATGTGGAGCCTGATTGTAATCACTAAAATGAAAACCCTTAGTGTGCTAACACGACTGTAAGTGTAATCTTTGATATTTAGGGTGTTGCAGAGCATTGGACCTGTCACTGTACTCAGTATGGAATCGTCGTCTTGAATATGGAATATGACACAGCATCCAGTAAGTCTGAGTCTTGCTTAGACTTAAGGGCCTAGTGGTGCAGCCCAGCAGTGACAACTGAGTGAGTCAAGCAAGGCATGAGAGGTCTTGGTACTTCAGCTTCTGGATGTTAAAAGTTAGCCGTAGCTGGGCCCTAGCCAGTTTGGCTCAGTGGATAGAGCGTTAGCCTACTGACTGAAGGGTTCTGGGTTTGATTCTGGTCAAGGGCATGTGCCTGGTTTGCAGCCTCGATCGCCAGCCCTGGTCGGGGCCTCCTGCAGGTGGCATCCGGTGATCCTCTCTCTGTGTCTCTTCCTCCCTTCCACTCTCTCTAAAAATCAATGAAAAAATATCCTCGGGTGAAGATGAACAACAACAACAAAAAGTTAGAGGGAAGATGGCGCCAGAGGTGAATGAATAATTGGGACACTCACTTCTGAGTATTTGACCAAGTGCGACAACTGGCTGTTGGGACAGAGCTGTAATAATATAACAGTAATACTAATAATGCATTCTCACGATTACCTTTATTAATATTATAATTAATCTTTACAGATTTGCATAGTTCCCAACATTTTATTAAGTGCCTTACATGTGACCCATTTTAACCCCATTATCAGACTAAGGCAGTTGACACTCGTCCCCATTTTCTTTTTAAATATAATTTTATTGATTTCAGAGAGGGAGAGAGAGATAGAAACATCAATGATGAGAGAGAATCATTGATCGGCTGCCTTCTGTATCCCCCACACTGGGCATTGAGCCCACAACCTGGGTATGTGCCCTTGGCTGGAATTGAACCGGGGTCCCTTCAGTCCGTGGCCCAACGCCCTATCCCAGGGGTGGGCAAACTTTTTGACTCGAGGGCCACAATGGGTTCTTAAACTGGACCGGAGGGCCGGAACAAAAGCATGGATGGAGTGTTTGTGTGAACTAATATAAATTCAAAGTAAACATCATTACATAAAAGGGTATGGTCTTTTTTTTTTTTTAGTTTTATTCATTTCAAACGGGCTGGATCCAGCCCGCGGGCCATAGTTTGCCCACAGCTGCTCTATCCACTGAGCCAAACCAGCTAGGGCTCGTCCCCATTTTCTTGAGGAGAACTGCTGAAGCGCAGAGCACTGGAGGGATTTGCCCAGGGTTTCTCAACACTTACAGGTACACACTGGCCCAGGTAGAGCTCATCTGGAGATGACAGGTGCCGCCTGTGTTTGGATCACAGCGAGTTGGCTGAAAAACCCAGCCTTGCCAGCCACAAACCAGTGGCTCGTGCCCGCCTGGTTAGAGGCTGGCTGCCTTCCCCTTGTTCCCTCAGTCCTAGTGAGTCCAAGCGTGGAAACCCCTGCTTATGTCACTCCTCCAGGGAAAGCACCACGTTGCCATGGTGAACACCTCCCCAAACAAAACCACCTCTGTTTAGTTCTAAATCTGAACAAAAGAACCTTTCGAGTCTGGAGTGGGGAACCAGAAAAATCACGAAATTAAGGAAGGGGTCCATCTCCCCTCTTAGCGTCTTCGGTGGTGTTTGTGGCAGCCAAGTGGCAGCAGAGCCCCGCGGCCCTTCACTCCCAGGGAGCAGGGCTGTAAGGATGCCCTTAGAAAGCCCCTCCGCATCTTCTCTGGAGATCAGTGGGCTGAGAGCCATCCGCACTGCTCTTTTCTAGTCGTCTTCTTTCGGGTCATTTGCATGAAAACAGGTTCCATTGTGCAAAGTTGGCCTGCCTGTTCTCTGTCAACAACATTTGTAGAACTTCTAGTCTTCGAGTTGGGTTGCCAAGCAGATATGACCCTGGTTTGCAAATAAGCTCCCTGCATTTACCAGCCCGTGAGAACTTGAGCGTGGGGGTAAGTAGATGGAAAGGGATCTCGCTCGCTGTTCAGAGCTGGGAGCAAGCCTGCTTTTGCGGGCCGCGTTTTCAGAGCAGCCAGGGAAGAGGGGGAGCGTTTGAGGGGACCTTTTGCAGGAGTCCTTGACTGCCCAGAACATCATCTGTTTCCTAAACCTGGTTGTCTGAGAATCTGAGAACCCGCTGGGGCTCGGGCCTGCTGCTCCCACCGTGGCCTTCCCCTGCTTCCCCAGAGCCAGGAATGCACTCCGGTGACCTGTCCCTCCCGTAAAGGTCTCTGGGGGAATACTGAAATAGTATGTCAGGGAAACTTCCTTCAAGTCAATATGTACCACCCCTCCCCCTACTCCATCTTGTTAAAGATGCATTTCCAGTAAGATTAACTTATGCTTAATAATTGTCCAGGTTTATATGTGTTAGTATAAATTATTACAGTCACAATTGATACGAACTCAATTCAGAAGGGATTTTTAAAAATACATGAGTAAAGTGTAAAATATTAAATTTCAATTTATACACACTATTTCAGAGAAATGGAATAAGGTAATTAAGTACTTTTGAACATAAAAGTGCATGGTGTTGAGACAGAATGGATATATAGTTTCGAAAAAAGAAAAATGATATAAAATTTTCGAACTAATGGGAAATGGTCTCCTGTAATTTCTAAACGAATGACGGTGGTTTCCAAATTCCTCTGGTGTTGATACATGTAAAAGAGTAGTTTAAGAATTTTACTATAAAAATAATATTTACAAATACAATCGAAACGATATCTTTTGCAGTTATTTAAAGTTAGGATGAAACGTTGAAGGCAACTTAAAACTGTGTGAGGGTGGTGTGGACTGAATGAGCCTGCCCCCATCTCCAAATTGCTAAGGGGAAGCCCCAGCCCCCAGTCCGATAGTATTTGTAAACGAGGCCTTTGGGAGGAATGAGCGTTGGATGAGGTCATGAGGGTGGGGCCCTCATGCTTAGATTAGTGCCCTTGTTAGAAGAGGAAGAGAGAAATACCATTCTCTCTCTGAGAACACACACTGAGAAGTCATGTGAGGACACAGCAAGAAGGCAGCCTTCTGCGAGCCAGGAAAAGAGCTCTCACCAGAACCTAGCTATACTGGCACCCTGGCCTCACACTTCCGGCCTCAGAACTGTGAAGAAATCACTCTCTGTTGTTTAAGCCATCCAGCCTGCGTTACTTCGTTGTGGTGGCCCGAGCTGACCAATACAGAGGGCACTTACTGTGTTTCCAACTCCTTTTAGAGGATACGTAAGCAAGAACACGTTGCAGGTCAACGAATATAGTCCATGTTCATATGAGGACAAGAAAGATCTGCTCCCTGCCTTCGTGGATAAGGTCTTCCCAGGGAGATAAAACAAGCCGAAGAGTCACCGAAGTGGACGGTGCGAGGCCAGGTAGGGGGCTATGTCATCTGTGTTGTGAGATGCACATGAGGACAGGCCCTGGAACCTGACCTTGAATCCAAGTTCTGCCCTCACTAGCCATTCATCTCAGCTCATCCATGACAGGGAGAGAGCACCTGCTGCAGGGGGTGGGGGCCTGGGGAGGTGGGG